ATGATATGATTAGAAAATCCTAGAGAATCAACTAAAAAACTACTTGAAATTATTAACAACTTTAGCAAAGTTGAGGGATACAAAACACATTCACATAAATCATCAGCATTTCTATATATTACCAATGAAGCCCAGGAGCAAGAGATAGAGAAATTCCATTTAAAATAATTGTAGACAATATAAAATACTTGGGAGTCTACCTGCCAAGACAAACACAGGAACTATGTGAACACAACTATAAAACACTTTTCACACAAATAAAGTCATATCTAAACAATTGGAAAAATATTAATTGCTTATGGGTAGGCCTAACCAATATTAACAAAAATGACAATTCTACCAACATTAATCTATTTATTCAGTGCCATACCAATCAAACTATCAAAAATTATTTTATAGAGATAGAAAAATAATAACAAAATTAATCTGGAAAAACAAAAGCTCAAGGATATCAGGGGAATCAATTAAAAAAAATGTGAAAGAAGATGGTCTTGCTGTACCAGATCTCAAACTGTATTATAAAATGGTAATTATCAAAACAATCTGGTACTGTTTAAGAAATAGAGTGGTGGATCAGTGGAATAGATTAGGTACAAATTACATTATAGTAAATGACCATAGTAATCAAGTATATGATAAACCCAAAGATCCAAGCTCTTGGAACAAAAACTCATTATTTGACAAAAACCGCTGGGAAAACTGGAAAACAGTATGGCAGAAACATAGACCAACATCTCACACTGTATACCAAGATAAAGTGAAAATGGACACATGATTTACACATAAAGGGTGATACCATAAACCAATTACAAGAGCACGGAATAGTTTATCTGTCAGATTTATGGATAAGGGAAGAATTTAGGACCAAAGAAGATAGAGCATTACAAAATATGAAATAGATCATTTTAATTATACAAAATTAAGAAGAATGCAACCAAAAATTGGGGGAAAGTTTTTGTAACAAATATCTCTAGCAAAGGCCTCATTTAACAAATATATAGAGAAGAGAGTGAAATTTAGAAAAATACAAGTCATTCCCCAGTTGATAAATGGTCAAAGGACATGAACAGGTAGTTTTCAGACAAAGAAATCAAAGCTATTTATAGTCAGATGAAAAAATGCTCTAAATCACTATTGATCAGAGAAATGAAAATGAAAATTACTCTGAGGTACCATCTCACACCTATCAGAGTGGCTAATATGACAAAAAAGGAAAATGTTGGCTGTTGGAAGGGATGTGGGAAAACTGAGACAGTAATGCACTGTTGGTGGAGTTGTGAGCTGATTCAATCATTCAGAAGAGCAACTCGGACCTATGCCCAAATGGCTATAAAACTGTGCAAAGCCTTTGATGCAACAATACCACTGTTAGTCTATATCATAAGACATCCAAAATATGTTTAATATGATTGTACATGTATAGCCAATATCAGATTGCACGCTGTCTTGGGGAGAGAGGAGCAGAGGAAGGGGGAGAAGATTTAGAACTCAAAATCTTATAGAAGTGAATGTTAAAAGCTAAAAACAAACAAATAAATAAACTAAAAAAAATAAAAAGACATCCAAAATAAAAAAGATATCCAAAAATAAAAATAAAAAGACAACCAAAAAAAGGGAAAAGATCTATTTGTACAAAATATTTATAGCAGCTCTTTTTGTGTTGGCTAAGAACTGGAAATCAAAGGGATGCCCATCAATTGGGGAATGGCTAAACAAGCTGTGGTATATGATTGTGGTGGAATATTATTGTACTATAAGAAATGACAAGCAGAATGATCTCAGAAAAACCTGGAAAGACTTACATGAACTGATACATAGTGAAGTGAACAGAACCAGGAAAATGTTGTACACAGTAACAGCAATATTGTTCGATGAAGAACTGTGAATGACTTAGCTGTTCTCAGCAATGCAATGATCCAGGACAATACTAAAGGTCTAATGATGAAGCACACTATCCGCCTCCAGAGAAAGAACTGATATTGATCGAATAAAGAGCAAAGCATGCTTTTTTTCCACTGTCTTTCATTTTCTTTTCTTTTATTAAAGTCTTCTTTTACAAAATGATTACTATGGAAATGTTTTACCTGATTGCACATCTAACCTCTATCTGATTGCTTACCATCTCAGGGAGGGGGAAGGATAAGCAACAAGAGAGAGATGGAATTCGGAACTCAAAACTTTAAATAAAAATGTTTTTAAAAAATTTTAAAAGGTCTTGAGTGTGACAAAGTTGGGATGTTTGATAGAAGAATCATGAGTTTTAAAAGGTTTGTTCGTATTCTAGCCAAATATGCTCCTACCAATGAGCAAGCCTATATCTTTAAGGCTGATTGTGAAAAGTGAAATCTTGCTGATAAGTGATGTCAGTAGCAGAGACTTTTCCTCTACACAAACGAGAGCAAATCAGTTTCTGATTGGATTCTTCCATAGATGTCTGGTGCTGAAGAATATATGGGGGCTGACAAAAGCCACTGGTCACAATAAAGTTATCCATTGCAAAGGTCTGAAGTGCATATTCATGAGACTCCTTTATCCATTACAAAGAAAGCTGCATTACTCCCCTAATGGAAAGGTCTTTATGAATACATCTTCTTATCTTGGAAACTATTTGTTAATTTCTACTACCATCGTCCTTTGGTCCTGGGTGATGTAGTAGATGAGAGTGTTAGACCCGGTATCAAGAAAATCTGAGTTCAAACATAGCTTCAGACACATACTAGCTATAGGACCTGGGGTAAGTTATTTAACCTATGTCTGCTCAGTTTTCTCATCTGTAAAATGGGGGCAATAATAGTACTTATTTCCCAGGGTTGTTGTGGAGGGAAATGAGATGATAATTTGTAAATGCTTTGCAAATCTTAAAGCAACATATAAATGTGAGCTATAATAATAATAATAATTATTATTATTCTTACTATAGCTACTATTATTATAATTACTATTATAATTATTGTTATTATCTCTCTAGCTTTTAAAGCCTCTCCACTTGAATTTTCTTATATTTACTCTATATAAATATATTTAATATAATTACATCTATAGATGTTATTTTCCACCGATAGAATATAGGTTTCTTGAGGAGACTCCTTGACTTTTGTCTTAATACCCACACCCTTAGCATCCAGCATAAAGCCTGGAACAAGCTTAATACATGCCTATTGATTGATTAATTGAGTTTTTGTGTCTTTGGTAGGCTAGAGTCTTCTTTTTTAAAAAAAAACTTTTATATATTTTGTTTTTCCCCCAATTAAATTGTTAAAACATTTTTAAAAATATTTTTAAAGTTGTGAGTCTCAAATTCTATCCCTCCTTCCCTTCCTCCCTCCCTGAGACGGTAAGTAATCAGATATAGGTTATGTGAATGCAATCATGTAAAATGCTTCCATATTAGTCATTTTGTACAAGATTTGGATAAAAAAAAAGAATGAAAGAAAGAAAATGAAAAATAGCACGCTTCAGTCTGTATTCAATCAACATCAGTCCTTTTTTCTGGAGGTGAAGAGTGTGCTTTATCATTAGTCCTTTAGGATTGCTTTGGATCATTATATTACTGTTCTTCATCGAACAATGTTGCCGTTACTGTGTACAACATTTTCCTGGCTCTGTTTACTTCACTATGCATCAGTTCATGTAAGTCTTTCCAAGTTTTTCTGTGATCATGCTGCTTGTCATTTCTTATAGCACAATAATATTCTATTGCAATTATATACCACAGCTTGTTTAACCATTCCCCAATTGATGGGCATCCCTTTGATTTCCAATTCTTAGGCTAAAGTCTTCTTGTACCATTCCCCAGGGACCAAGCATTGATATATAATCATGGAAAAATATTTTTTCTAATCCCTTCTCCCAACCAAAAGCAATTTTCCCCCTATCCCCTGCCTCCCCTTCCCCATTTTTCCCACAGGAAACAACTTTTAACGATTGGGGTAACCATGGGAACTTAGGAAGAAGACACCCAATCCAGTTAATGAAGAAGCAAACTCCCACCTTGTCTTCCCTACAAAAGAACTCACTGAGTAGAAGTGACTGTTTGATGGTAGAATTGGGTAAGCTGGGGGTGGGAGGAGGATCTGTGGCTCATGGAACACCTTCAGATACCATATTGTAATAACTGACATTTGCATAGCAAAGCATTTTACAAGCTCTGTCATTGTATATTATCAAGAACATAGGAGATAGGCATTTCTGCTATTTTTGTCCCCATTTTTATAGGCAAGGAAACCAAGACTTATGGTCATACAACAAATAAATGTTAGATATAGGATTTGACCCCAAATCTCTCCTGACTCTAAGTCCAACACATTCGTCTTATCTATTAGTTTACTAACCCTATCGAAAAATAAAATGCAGTAAGACTGGCATGACCCACTGTCTCGTGATGATCACTTCTCCCTTTCTAAATGCTGACACACTCTCATTTTAATAATTAACTCCAGAATTTTGCCAGGAACTTCAGTCAGTGATTTGGCCTTTGGTTTAAATAATCCATCCTCTGGTCCCTTTTTGAAAATCAAAAAACTGCTTACATCTACTGTTTTCTTGTACTTTATAATTTCTCAAATCATTGAGAGAAGTTCTGTGAGAACATTCACAAGTTTGTTTCCTTTCTCCCCAGTATCTTGGAAGATTGTCTAAGCCTGGTGACTTGAACTCATTGAGCAAAGTTACGTGTTCCCTTATTACACCTCCTTAATTAATCAATCTCTTTATTTTTTACTATAAATGAAACTGAGATCCCAGAAAACTGAATTGATCAAATAGTTAACGGTAGATCCAAAGTTAGAATCCTGGTGCTTTTATTCCCAAGTGAGTTCTTTCCCCACTGTACCGTGGTGCTGGGGGTAGAGGTAGGGGTGGAGAGGTTTACCAGCACACCAGATAGCCTAAACCTCTTCCATATTTAGTCTCCAAAATTGTCCCAGTTTTTCAGTGATTTCACGTGATCACCATGACCTGGGATACCCTCCAATTAGCACACTTGGTCTAGAGGCACTGAATTATGTAATTGTAAAGAGAAAAAAGATCTTTTGCAGGAGAAGAGATGAAAAATACAATGTCAAAATTAAACATTGTGGGGGAACAAAAAAATATTCAGAAGATGACAAGATGTAGGGATGGCCCACCTCACGGGTCTTTAGCACAATCCAAAACAAGTAATTGGAGACTGCTGTGTATATACCAGGTTTCCCTTTTCGACCACAGCCTTCCCCCCAGCTGACAATGCCTATTTGGTACCATACTTTCTCATTATTCTTGCTGTTGCAAACCAAAGGTCCCCCACTGTCACCCTAAAGGAGAGAAAGAAAAATATTATTCTCTTCCCAACCACATTCCCAACCACAAAAGAATTAGAAACCTTCTTCTGCCGTTTCCTGTCTGTATGACCTTGGGCAAGTTACTTAACTTTTATGAGCCTTCATTTCTTCATACGTAAAATGTGTCAGGGTCTGTCCATTTTACCTTCATATCATCTCTAACATATGTCCCTATCTCCCTCCTGATGCTGCAGGCCATCATCACCTCACACCTGGACTACTGAAATAGCCTACTGGTTGGTTGGCTTGCCACAAGTTTATCTCCACTCCAGTCCATCCTCCACTCAGCTTTCACAGTGATGTTCCTAAAGTTCAGATCTCACCTTCCTCCCCCAATAAATTCTAGTGGCTCCCTATCGCCTCTAGAATTAAATATAAAATCCTCTGTTTGGGATTCAAACCCCTTCAATACTTTGCCCATTCCTACCTTTCCAGTCTTCTTATGCCTTTCCTCTCTCATGTTTCCTGTAATTGACCTTTTTGATGTTACTTGAACAGGATATTCCATCTCCTGACTCCAAGTAATTTCACTGTCTGACCTCTACGCCTGTCTGTCCTCATCTCTACCTCCTGGCTTACTTCAAGTCCCAGATAAAAATCTCACCTTCTACAGGAAATCTTTCCTGATTCTCCTTAATTCTAGTACCTACTCTCTGTTGAAGATTTCCAATATATCCCGTATATATCTTGTGTGTACATAGTTGTTTGTATGCTGCCTCCTCCATTAAACTATGAGTTCCTTGAAAGCAGGTACTGTCTTTTACTTTTCTTTGCATCCTCAGTGCAAGATACAGTTTCTGGCACATAGTAGGTACTTAATAAATGATGGATTGGCCTATCATCTAAAGGGCGGTAGCTAGGTAAGGGAACTCTACCCGCTGAAGGAACCCAAAGAAAGCACCTCTCGGACTTGCATAGAATAAAACCATTTTCGATTAGATGATGTTACAACAAGGCATAGCTTCACTATCTTCTCATGCCAGGTGTTAATAGAAATACCAAGAAGGAAGAAGTAGCCTACATTGAAATGACTGCTACTCAAAGGTGGCCCATTAGCTGCTGGCCCAGCCAGGGGAGTTGGGTTGACCTTGAATCTAATGAAAAGAGTCCTGATTACCGGGCAGGAATCTTTTTTTCCTTCAGGATCCCAGGCACAGATCATGTTGTCACTTAATAAATAAACTTTCTTATAGCATTCTTCCTGTTTTAAGAGCTCAAGATGAACTTTTTGCAGTGAGAGAGACATTTGCTTCACAGGTCCTAACCAAAAGGAAAGACAGATCAAGAGAGAAGGGGGAACCAGTAGTAAATAACTGTTCTTTAATAGAATTTAAATATCCCCAGACTACAGAGATCTGATCATCATTAATATCCCTCCCCTTCTACTCAAGACAGGATATAGGACATATCTTCTCTCTATCTCAATCTCTCTCTCTCCCTCTCCCTCTCTCTCTCTCTCTCTCTCTCTCTCTCTCTCTCTCTCTCTCTCTC